TGGTGTTACTACAAGGTACCGAGGCTCTAGAACCGAAGGGAATAGAGCCTTCTCGAATTCGGTACATGCATTTGGTGAATTATCACGGGCACTCTACAATATACAATATAAATCTAGAAAATAGCACGCAATTCTATTCGGTACAAACAATAAAATAAGAAATAGTAAAGCAACGAAATAGGAAATAAGCGTAGAAACAATCTAGAAAATAGGACTAAGACAATGCAGTATATAACGGATGGCGTACTCTCACATTCAAGGTGAAACGACCACCTGGATCACCGCCTGTCTTCAAGGTGCGCTACGTGGCGAGAGGGTGAAGTCAGAGAGAGGTGGCAGACTTCTTTCAGGCTTTCTTCCCCACCACGAAGATGACTACTTGCCAGGTGTTGCTGCACATTGCAGCACAGTGTGACTACGAGCTCCACTCACTGGACTTCTGGACTGCGTTCCTTGAGGGCAACCTTTGTGAGCAGATCTGGCTCCGCCACCTTCCTGGTTTCACTGGTTCGTTCCCTATTGGCACCCATTGGAGCCTTTGGCTGCCTGTCTTTGGTCTATGTTAGGCTCCACATGCGTGGCAAGGGACGTAACTAGCTACGCTTGCTGTTCTTGGTTTCTCTCCATCCTTTACCGACCCTTCTCTCTTCGTCTGATCTGGCTCCACTACATCTTTTTTAACGTCAATCACCTCGTTTTTGCTACTCTCGACAAAGGTGCACTGGACTCCGTAAAGGCCGAGCTGCACAGGAGACACATCTGCACTGAGCTGGGTGAACTTGTGAGAATTAGAATGATTGAGTATTAGAGAGAACATGCAAGCTTACATAGGGTAGGAGATCATAGGGATGTTCCTAGGCAAGATGCTTTAGCAAGGTGCTTGGCAAGTTGCTTGGCAAGATGCTTGGCAAGATGCTTGGCAAGATGCTTGGGAAGATGCTTGGCAAGATGCTTGGCAAGATGCTTTGGCAAGATGCTTTGGCAAGATGCTTGGCAAGATGCTTGGCAAGATGCTTTGGTTGGGGGCTCCACTAAAGTGTGGATTAGCACTCCAACCAATGTACACCCAAAGGGGTGTATGATAATAGAGAATGTACAAGTCATTCTAGTCTATGTATGATATGAATAAAGGAGTATTCTAACACAACCCCTTAGCATACATAAGACGAGAGGACTTGGACAGGAGAGGATGCAACCCCTGAGTCAGCCACGGGAGGGGATCGAGCGAGGGGCAAGGCCAAGAAGAAGAAGAAGAGCATAGTGCGTCAGGCGAGACAGTGCCTTGGTGAAGATGTCAGCGAGGTTCGCAGAGGAATCGATCTTGTGAACGGTGATGTGGCCGTCGTTGACAAGGTCACGAACGTAGTAGTGACGAAGCTCGATGTGCTTGGAGCGACCATGAAAAACCGCTTCCTTGGTGAGATGTATGGTGCTCGAGTTGTCGCACCAGATGGTGGGGCATGGCTGAGGAGCACCCAAGTCATCGAGGAGGAAGGAGAGCCAGCGGGCCTCTTGAGCGGCCATCGTTACAGCATAAAGCTCTGCCTCGCAGGAGGAGAGAGCGATGGAGGAGGAGCGAGTGGAACGCCAGCTGATGAGGCCGCTGCCGAGGGAGAAACCATATCCCTGACTGTTGCGGCGGTCGGGCTGGGAATCTGCCCAGGAGGAGTCACTGTAACCGGTGAGGATGGGGGGGGGGTGGAACCACCTAGCGTGAGCACAAAGTCCTTGGTACCGCGTAGGTAGCGAAGGACGCGCTTGGCAGCCCGCCAGTGCTCTGCAGCATGCTTGCCAGACCCGATGAAGTGAGCTAGTACACTAATCGGGTAGGCAAGGTCGGGGCGAGTGCAGGTCATGGCGTACATCAGGGCCCCAACAAGCTCAGCGTACGGGTCAGAGGAGAAGGATGGGGAGGAGGGTGGAGCGAGCTGATGGCCGACAGGAAGCGGTGTGGAAATGGGCTTCACAGTGGCCATATCGAAATGCTCGAGGACTTTCTCGATGTAAAAGCGTTGGGACAGAGAGATAGTTCGTGCCTCCAAGTCCCGAGTAATCTCCATGCCGAGGTAGTTGCGGACCTCTCCCAGGTCTTTGCAGGCAAGACGCTGATGAAGCTGGTCTTTGACGGACTGGAGAGCAGCAGGAGAGTCAGCAGCCAGCAGCATGTCATCCACGTAGACGAGGATGTAGAAGGGGGAGGGGGAGGTGCGGAGGAAGAGGCTGGGGGCGGCCTTGGAGGGGCGAAATCCAAGGTCGCGGAGCGTGGAGGAGAGTTTGGCGTGCCATTCACGCGGAGCCTGTTTGAGGCCATAGACGTGGCGACGCAGCTGCCAAACAGTGGAGGGGTCGAAGGAGCCCTGGAAGCCCTCGGGGCGCTCCATGAAGATAATTTCGTGGAGGTCGCCTTGGAGGAACGCAGTGGTGACGTCCATAGAGTGGAGTAGCAACCCACTTCGAGCGACGAAGTCCAAGAACACACGGACAACGGGGGGGGTTGCGGTAGGAGAGTATGTGTCGAAGAAGTCTGAGCCATGGGTTTGGGTGAACCCTTTGGCGCAGTAGCGAGCTTTGAAGACGGAGACTCGCCGGGGAGCAGCTTCACCCTGAAGACCCATTTGCCTTTGACGACGTTGGACGAGTGGGGGCGGGGAACGTCGATGAAGGTGCCGTTGTGGATGAAGGAAGATGTCTCTTTGGCCATTGCCTCGATCCAAAGAGGGGCATCGAGACAGGCGATGGCTTCCTGATAGGTTGAGGGCTCGAAGACGGTAGGCACCCCAGAGAAGAGAAGGACTGGGGCGCCAGTCAAGGTGCGGACGATGGGGGCGTGGGAGGGTTGATAGAGGTGGAGGAGGAGAAGCTCATCGTGAGTGTCCTCAGAGAGGAGGGGAGAGAAGGGAGGAGGAAGAGAGGGGGGTGGTGGAGTTGCAGGACTGCTGCGCAGAGAGAGGTCGCAGCTGGGACGCTGTTGTGCTGTTGTACTGCGGCGCGGCTGCTCGGCTACACTGCGCCACGGCTGCGTAAGAGCGCTGGTGCGGGCGGCCGGGGAAGGGTGAATGTGCAGGCGAGGAGGATGTGTACTGGGGGGAAGGGTGGGGATACTGAGGGGGGGAAGGAGGGAAGTGCAGGACAAGGTATGTGGAGGGGGGGGGGGACCAAGGGAGCGAGTGTGGGGGCGGGAGCGAGGGGGGGGGGGGGAGCACGAAGGGGAGAAGTTGGGTGAGTCGAGGGAGGGGGAGCGGAGGAGTGGGGAGGAGAGGGAGTGGGGAAAATGGGGGGGGGGAGCCGTGGAGTGGGAGGGGGAGGGGGGGAGTACAGGGTCGAGGATGTCACCGGAGGAACCTGAGACAGAGGGAGCTGGAGGAATGGGGGGGGGAACCAAGGGGGGGGGAACTGGGGGAGGGGGGAGGAGGGGGGGGGCAGCTGTGTCAGTCCAAAGAAGGGGGCGGGGAGGGAGGATGAGAGGATCAGTGGGAGGGGGGGAGGAGTAATAGGGTGAGGATTCGTCAAACACTACATCGCGGCTACGGATAAGGCGGCCTGAGGGGGGGTGAAGAAATAGGTAATCTGGAGAAGAAGGATTGTGACCAAGGAAGACGCAGGGGAGGGTCCTAGCAGCAAGCTTGCCGGCTGCGCGGGAGCGATCAGCAGGGTGTATAAGGACGTGGGCTTTGGAGCCCCAAATGCGAAGGGGTGAGATATCGGGCTTAGTGGAGGTCCATAGTTCGGTGGGAGTGGTGGAGGGGCGGTTGGGATGGGGATAAAGGTTGGTGAGAAGGGTAGCATGAAGTAGGGCATATCCCCATAGGGAGGGCGGGCAGGAGGCATGAACCAAGAGACACCGGGCAGTTTTGGTGATCTCTCGGACCCGACTCTCAGCAACACCATTTTGCTGAGGGGAGTGGGGTAGAGTGTAGGTGTGGCAAATGCCATGGGTCGTGCAGTAGGAGGAAAGGGTGTGATTGAGGAACTCACCACCGCCGTCAGAATGGAGACGACGAATGGGTCGTCCAAAGTGGGTTGCAGCCTGAGTTGCCCATGCAATAATAGCAGCGGGGGCCTCGGCTTTGGTGCGGAGGAGAGAGACCGAGGAGTACCTGCTGTGGTCATCCACAAGGATGAGCAGGTATCGGTGACCCTGGCGGGAGGGTGTGGGGTTGGGACCCCAGAGGTCCATGTGGACTAGGTCGAGTGGTGCAGGGGAAAAGGTGGGATGACTGGGGTGAGGGTGTTGTTTAAGTTTGCTCTGGACACAGACCGTGCAGGGTGGGGCAAGGGAGGGAGGAAGTGGGGGGAGAGTGGGTGGGAGACCATGAAGGAGAGAGGAAATGACGGCTTTGTGAAGGGTGACAAAGTTGGGATGACCAAGACGATGATGGAGAAGAATGGATGGGTGGGAGAGGTCACGACACAGACAGGAGGGAGAGGGGGATGGTGGAATAGGTGGAGGGGGAATAGTGGTGGAGAATACCTGAGGGGAGGGAGAGCGAGGAGTGCGGAAGGTGTACGTACGAGTGGATGGACACATGGAGATACGAGAGAGAAAACGACCGGAGGTGGAGTGAAAAAGATCACAGTGGGAGGCGTGAGCAGGAAAGATAGTGGTGACACCAGCTTGTTGAAGTGCACCTTGGGAGACTAGGTTGTGACGGAGAGAGGGAATGTGAAGACCAGTGACGGTGCCTGATGGAAAAAGTGGACAAGGGAGTGTGGATGAGTGATGGCTTTGGACAGTAAAGGTGGAGTCAGCACCAAGGATGGTAGAGGGAGTGGGGAGGGGTGTGAGTTTGCCAGCGTCGCGAAGGACAGTGTGAGAGGCTCCACTGTCAAGGATAAATTCAATGGGAGGTAAGGAGGCGGAGTACTGGAAAGACGTTGTATTAATAGCATCAGCATACATGGAGGGATCACTAGGCATAGGGGATTGCATGCTCTGTCCTACGAAGGCGGAGGACGGGAATGGGGTAAAGCCCGGGGGGAGGGAGGGAGGGGGGGAATGTTCAGTGTCCGGAGGCGGGGCAGTCGGGGGTACAGACGGGGGGGGAACCTGAGGGGGGTAAAACGGGTAGGGGGGGTATGGGGAAGGAGACCAGGGGGGCGGGGGGAAACCTGGAGGTGCAGGGGGAGGGGGGTAAAAGCCGGAGGGGGGGGGTGAGGGAGTCGGGGAATACAGCAGGTGATGAGCCTGGGGGGGAGCACGGGGAGGGGTAGAGTGGGGGAGTACCTGAGGGTTGGAGGAGGAAGGGGGGTGGTAGGTGGGGGAGGTGCGGATGTCATGAGGGGTGGGGAGGGGGTGCAGGAGGTGCCAACGGGGGGGAGTACCAGTGTTACCACGGTCAAACCATTCGTCACTTAGAGCCTTGAAGCAGGTGGCGGTGGCGTGGGTCGTCTGGAGACAACGCTGTCCTCGAAGAGAGCCGTAACGAATGAGGTACTGGCACGGAGGGAGGGTGCCGGTTCCAGCAGGGCCACTGCGTCCACCACCACGGCCACCTCCTCCAGGGGGGCGAGAGCCAAAGCGTCCACCACTGCGTCCCGAAAAGCTGCTTCGTCCGGTACCGCGCCCTCCCCCATAGCCACCGCTGAAGCCACCACGACCGCCACCTCCTCCACGAGCAAGCGCAATAGTAGAGAGAGAGGTGTGGAGGAGATCTGCTTCCGCGTCGAGTAGCCAAGTGATGATGTCAGAGGAGGAGGGAGTGCCGGGTCGGGTGGTGATGAAGGCAATCTTGTAGGTGGTGTAGGCGGGAGGAAGTCCATCGAGGATGCGAGCCATGAGGAGGGAATCAGTGATGGTGATGCCGCGATCAGTGAGGCGGCGAGCAGTGTCAGTAAGGCGACGAGTAAAGGTGGCAGCATTGGGAGAGGAGTCAAGGGAGAGAGCTTGGAATTCGCGGTAGAGGGAGAGAAGGGAGTTGAGGTCCTGTCGGTCAAAGCGAGTGGTGAGATCCTTCCAACGTGTTGCGGAGGTGGTGGGACGGATCTCACGTTTGAGAGAGGTAGGGATAGAGGCGAGGATGATGTTGAGCGCCTTGAGATCAGCAATGCGCCATGCAGAGGAGTTGAGGCGGTATGTGCGGTCATCCTCCACGTGCTTGGCGCGCAGGGCCTGGTAGTCGATATCGGCGAATCGAGCGGCTTCATGGGCAGCGAATGATGCATTCCAGGTGGCTTGGTCAAGGACGTAAGCAGCATGATCCCGAGTGTAATCGCGGAGGATGCGAGCCCAACATTCGGGGTCATCGTTGTGAACGGGTAGCTCCGGGGCAACAGGCGGTGGGCCTGGAGGATGGGGCGGTTCACCAGGAGGGGGTGGAGGGGGGGCTGCGGGAGGAGAGGGGGCAACTCCGAATGGAGTGTCGAGAGCGAGATCAAGGAGGTTAAAGTTATGGATTGTGGTGGAGCCAAGAAGAACGTGCATGCTTTCTGAAAACGAAGTCCAGTTCACCGGGGTGGTATCGTTAATGAGTTCGAGACGATCAATGGAACTTATGTCAGTTGGCATGGTGTCGGTAGCCATGATGCGGGGGGGGGGGGAGAAAGCAGCCACAGGAGGAGGGGGGATGGGGAAAATGAAAGATGAGGAGAGAAGGTGAGAATGAGGAGGGAGGGATCAGCCACAGGAGGAGGGAGGATGGGGAAAATGAAAAAGAAGGTGAGAATGAGGGGGGGGGGGAGGAGGGATCAGCCACAGGAGGAGGGAGGGGTGGGGATACGACGGGATGGTGTGAGGGGAAACTAGCGACAGAGGGAGGGAGAATGGGGAGTGAGGGTGATGGAGTTGATGGTGAGGGTGGAGGAAAGAGGGAGAGAGAGCAGCCACAGGAGGAGGGTGGGGGGGGGGGGGAGGGGGGGCTTACAAGAGAGATCGCGGGAGCAGTGGGCAGCGGGTCGCGAGCGCCACGGGTAGGACAGAGGCGCGGGTCAGGGGGAGGAGCGGGTCAGGGCGGAGGTGGCGCTGGTCGCGGGCGTTGCAGGCAGCAGGTCGCGGGCGTCGAGTCCGCGAGCGCCTTGGGTAGGAGGAGGAGGGGAGAGGGGAGGGGGGGGGGGGGGCAGCTGACGTGGTCGCGGATGTCGCGAGCAGGAGGCGACGGGGGCCCGTGGTGCGTCGAGGGCGGCACGCCCGTCAAGGGTCGCGGGTCTAGGGGGTCGAGGGCGACGAGGGGCGTCGGTCGCAGGGGTCGCGACCTGCATCGTTGGTTGGCAGGGGCGGCGGGTCGCGGATGTCGGGGGCGCGCGCGATGGGCGGCGTCTGGCGAGGGCGGCGCGAGCAACGAACGGGAGGAGACGGGGGGCCGCGGAGGGCGAGCGCGGGGGGGCCGTGGGCGTCGCGAGCAGGGGGCGCCAAGGGCCGTGGGTGTCGCGGATAGGGGGCGCCAAGGGACGGGGCGCCGTGGGCGTCGCGAGCAGGGGGCGCCAAGGGACGGGGTGCCGTGAGCGTCGCGAGCAGGGGGCGCCAAGGGACGGGGCGCCGCGGGTGTCGCGAGCTGGGGGCGCCAAGGGACGGGGCGCCGTGGGTGTCGCGAGCTGGGGGCGCCAAGGGGCGGGGCGCCGTGGGCGTCGCGAGCAAGGGGCGCCAAGGGACGGGGGCGCCGTGGGAGTCGCGAGCAGGGGGCGCCAAGGGACGGGGCGCCGTGGGCAGCGCGCCAAGGGCCGTGGGCGTCGCGGATAGGGGACTCCAGGAGCCGCGTGCGCTGAGGAGAGGGCGTTTAGGGCCGTGGGTGACGTGGACAGAGGGCGCCAAAGGCCGTTAGTGACGGGAGCAGTAAGCGTTACGGGAGGGCCGTGTGTGATGAGTGACGGGTAACCGAGGGAATAGTAGGAGTGTTGAGGATCGGAGAAGGCGTTAGCCTATGAAGCTCTGATTTCCATGTGAGAATTAGAACGATTGAGTATTAGAGAGAACATGCAAGCTTACATAGGGTAGGAGATCATAGGGATGTTCCTAGGAAAGATGCTTTAGCAAGGTGCTTGGCAAGATGCTTGGCAAGATGCTTGGCAAGATGCTTGGCAAGATGCTTGGCAAGATGCTTGGCAAGATGCTTGGCAAGATGCTTTGGCAAGATGCTTTGGCAAGATGCTTGGCAAGATGCTTGGCAAGATGCTTTGGTTGGGGGCTCCACTAAAGTGTGGATTAGCACTCCAACCAATGTACACCCAAAGGGGTGTATGATAATAGAGAATGTACAAGTCATTCTAGTCTATGTATGATATGAATAAAGGAGTATTCTAACAGAACTGCATTGCTATATTGGCTTGCAGATCACCCAGAGAGCAGCGCGCACCGTCACACTGAGCCGTTCCATTTTTAGTTATTGTCTCCACAGTCCACACCTCTTGCAGTCGACCATGGAATCACGGCTCCTGCTCTCGGGGAGCCTGCTGAGCCGAGTGGTCAGTACGGAGAGCTGGTGGGGTACATCATGTACCTAATGACATGTACTCGTCCTGGCCTTGTATACCCTCCCATCATCCTTGCTCGCTTTATTGTGAATGGGAGACACTAACCCACCCACTGGTCGACCACTAAGAGGGTTGTGCACTATCCAGTGATCACAATATGCATGGGGCTTGTGCTTGGAGGGAGACAGTCAGCTTCACCAAACACACTGATGCGTCGTGGGTAGACGACGACGAGACCCTGAGGTCTTTACAAGGCTAGTGATTTAGTCTCGGTTCTCGAGCTCTCTCCTGGAGGTCAAATTGTGCGTCGTCGGTTGCTCTGTCTAGCTGTGAGGTCGAGATCTACGCCAGTGCTATGGCTGCGCAGGAGCTACGCTGTCATATTTTCTTGCTCACTGACTTTAGGTGCACCACCTTGGTCATGTTTGCTGATAACATGGCAATTATCCTCTTGTTTTAGGAGCCTTGACTGGAGGGCAAGGCGAAGCATATTCAGTTGCAGTACTTCCTAGTGCATGATTGCAGCAGCGTGGTCAGGCACGTGTGGTACCTGTGGCCTAAATGGCCAACACTGCTAATATCTTCACAAAGGCACTTCAGCCTCATTATCATCGAAATTTCTGCACACAACTTGGCCTAGTCTCACGAGGTAATCACTTCCTAGTTTCATGATCTTTGTTTCTTGTTCTGTATGTGTCTCTGCAAATACTTTTATGAACTCGTTGACTGGCTGCGGCCTGTTTGCTTCAGAAAAATTGGACTAGTAGTGCCACCCTAGCGTGTGCGTGATTATTCACCAAATACCCCTAACAAGTTCGGGAAGGCTCTATTTCTTTGGTTCTAGACCCTCTGTATTCCCTTCGTTTCTAGAGCCTCGGTTTCCTGCCCTGTATCGTGCCTATATGTAGCCAAGACCTTGTACCCAGGGGCATTAATAAATTCTGAACTGAGCATTCAATACTCTCACACAAAGCATATTCACATATGTTTTGTAGGATATGTTGTTTAAGTTGGTTTACACTGTAGAGGGTACATCTTTGGTACACACGAACCCTGTGCAGACCTCCGAGACTGAGGGTCATCTGCCTACGATGCGTCACTGTGCCCAACATGTCACCAACCAAACAACTCTAAATTTGCTCGTTCAATCCGATCATACTCCCGCAATGAAAGCTCCGAGCTACCTTACGAAGCTTTATCGACCAAAAGACTCGGTGTCCTCAAGCCATCTGATGCAGCCTCTTATGGAAGAAAAAATGGCCCCAAGAGAAAAGGCCAACAACATCAATCGGGCGCAGCATCAGCGACCAACTCGTAAAGCTACGAAACACGATTGCGGAGGACATTTTTCGAATGTCACCATAGTCCTTGCGAGACTAGGCCCCGACTGGAAACCGTGTAAAGCTCTCCTTTGCGCAAAAGCAGAATGACATGGATTTCAAACAGGAGAAACGTCGCGCCGAGAAAGAAATGCCTTCTACTCGACCCAAGACAAAGGACGAAACAACAGCAACTCTCATCCTCGTAATTAATTCTGTAAGTACTACAAAGCCTTCAATCACTCAACTGAATGGTGCCGCTCCCAGACACGTAACATCGTCGCAACAACAAGGCCGCGAACAGAAAGCTTCGTCCCATCGCGCCAAACAAGTTGACCGTCCACGGACCATCGGCCTGTCCTGCGTGTCAAAGTAACAACTAGTGAATGGATGACTCAACAATGGCATACACAGGTTGATATAGCACACCCTAGCCAGCCCTAGCAAACCCTAAACACAAATGTACACCACCTAGACTAGCAAACACAAGCTATAACAGTTATAGTTTGACACACCCCCATAGTCTAGGTGATGGTAGTCCTGTGGAAAGCAACATACAGGCTAAGAAGAAGGGTCACAGGACCAATCAGCAAGAACAGGCAACGGTCACAAGACCAGTTCACAAGAACAAAACAAATCTCGGGGTGGATCTCAAGATCACCACGAAGTCCGAGAACAAGCAAGGGGTCATAAGGCTAGTTCACATGCAAGGAGATAGCAAATATAGAAGATGCAAGAGTACAAGACATGCATGACAAGCATCTTTACAAAAGCAAGAAGCCACAAGGCCTGTCCACAAGGCAAGAGATATAGGATATATAGTAAGATGCAAGAATAAAAAACAAAGCATCTCTACGCAAGCAAGTGAGGGCCGGTAGACACAAGGCCTAGATGGGTGCAGAGACGCAGGTGATCACAAGGCGGCAACACCTTGGTGAAGAGGTCTGCTGTGTTGGCCTCAGAGACCACACGTCGCACGAGTGTCTGGCCACGCTGCTGCAACTCTCGCAGAAGGAAGTAACAAAGCTGGATGTGCTTCGCATTCCCAACCAGTCGGGGCTTCTCGCACAACAGGACAGCTGACCTGTTGTTGACGAACAAGACTGGGGGAGAGCGAGGCCGCTCACCAAGGTCGGTGAGGAGGAAAGACAGCCACCGAAGCTCCTGGGCGACCATGGCCGCTGCGTATACCTCTGCCTCACAGCTGGAACTGGAGACGGACGACGCCCGAGTCGACCTCCACGAAACAGCTCCGGTCCCAAGGCAGAAGTAGTAACCCTTTGTAGACCGCAGCGACTCAGCGATTTCGGCCCACGACGAGTCCGAAAATCCTGTGAGTGTAACTGGCTGCTTCCCTCCAAGGACAAGTCTCATGCCTGATGTACTCGCCACATACTTCGCCAACCTCTTAGCACCGTACGAGTGGGAAGGTCGGTGTCTCCCAGGCGCAACAAAGCGTGGAAGGACGCTAAGAGGGTAAGGTAGGTGTCGGAATCTTCTTGCTCAAGCCTTCCTTGCCCCTCCAAACTAGGCTCGTTTCCCCCCTCCTGTCTCGTGGCCCCTTTCTTCTCTCTCCCTGCTCTCAGTCTGGCTTCTGAAGGCTCCTCAGCTCTCTGTTCCTCTCTCCTCTAAGTCCAGTCCCTCTCTCCACTATGAAAAGTCCCCAGCCACTGGTCACATCGGTAGCTCAAACCCTAGCTCGGCTGGCTGAGGAGGTGCATGAACGTGTTCTCCAATGCTTGCGCGGGTTGGTTTCTCTTGCTCAGTCACGACGGGGTGTGTTGAGAATTGTAAGCATAAGTGTGAGAACAATCACGCAAGCATCTCTCTAAGCTTGCCTACTTTCTTAAGTACTAGTGGCGGGTTACCGTTGTGTTAACGGTCCCGTTTCGCCCGCCGATTTCTTATTTTCCCGTTTCTTCGTTTCGCCATTCGGCCCATCCTGCTTTATCCTACCTACAGTATTCTCCATTTCTATCATATGTCACGAATGTATATCTACGGAACCTACGCCAA